TTACCCTTTTTTTCCCCTCACAACTCTTCCCCTTCCACCTTCCCCCCCCTCAAAAAAAATCATTGGTGTTCCTCATAAAAGAATTGTTTGGTGTTCCTCAGTCTTAAAAAGTTTAAGAAACACTGGAGTAGCTTATGTGAACCTTGTTTTCCAGAAGCTATCCCACAATGCCACACACTGACCATTCTGGTCACCACTGTCCCGGATCATGGAGATCGGAAGCACCTCTCCCCTTTAAAGCCCTGCAGATTTTTGCAATTTGTTCTCCTGATTGCCCAGCTTGGTGAGTGCACCGAGCAGCTTTCCATTATTGAGTGCAACTGCCTGGCTGACCATGCTGGCTACAAGCTCAAGACATGCTCCTGCCTGGAGTAGACAGGAGATATTTAATCTCTTGAGCCCAGGGTTAAAGTGGCTATGCAGGCACAGTTCCTAACCAGTTGTAGGAGAGTAAACCTCTTTGAGCTGATTGCTCAGAAGATGAAGTTTAACAGGGACTATCAGCAGTGCAATGTGAATGCCTGTCATAGTCCTTTGGCTTACCAAGAAGCCAGTAGTCGAATCAGTGCCAAGCTGCAAATCTGCCACTCTGACCAAGAGCTGTATGCTCTGTTGGGCAGACACACCATCCTTCTACTCATCACAGTGCCATGGATGCCTCTGAGAAACCTAAGTCACAGGCCTCTGTCATGAACAGTGAGGAGGAGGTGCTGATGGAAGAGGAAGAATATGGGGGACAGATGACTGAGGAATCCAGCTGTCCAACAAGCCAGGAGCTATTTTTGACTCCTCCACGGTCCAACCAGTACTGCCAGTTGAACACAGACAAGCCTGGTGCAGGTCAAGGAACCTCCGGTAAGTGTGTAGATAAATTTTCAACTCCAGTGATGACATCCACAAAGTAGCAAGACACATCTTTTGACTTAATGTACTTGCTCTAGGAGAGGTAGTGATATAGCCAAGGTTAACCTTCTCCTCTAGTGTTCAGGAAAGTATGTGTGGGGTGGGGGGGAGGGAGGGAAAGCATGCATAGCAGTTTCACAGTGGTACCTGCAGTCTTCTGCAGAAAGTTTCTAAGGAGATCTGCCTTGTTTCTGCCACCACAGTAGAAAGCTTTTTCTTTCCTCTTAGTGATAACTTTAGCAGAAACCATTGCAGTTCACAGGCTAACAGCATATGGACCTAGGTGGCTTTGGGATGCCAGCAGCAGCTGTGCTCTCCCAGTGTTTGTTAGCCTGAGGAGTGAGCTGTCAGATAAATTCATCACTACCTGTGGAAAATAGTGCCATTATTCAGTGTCATTACACCATACTCAGTTTCATGTAATTTAGCAAGTCCTTCCTTGTTTAGTCAATCTCCACCAGGCCATACTCTGCTCCCTCTCCCAAGACTGGTGCTGTGATTGGCACCATACACAAGCAAAGTCAGAGGTGAGAATGTAGTGCTTAACCTTTAGAACAAATTCAGCATTTTAAGTTTCTTTCCATAGTACACTGACAATGGTACTTCTGTGTTTTATCTGCGGCTGCTGCCATGTCACTGTGGCCTTCGTGATTTCCCTCTCCACACTCTCAGAACACTCAAGCCAGATGAGGAGAAAGAAGAGGACTCTGGATGACACATTAAGTAAGATTCTGCAAGCTACTCCTGTATCCGACTGAAGAGCACAAGGCCTGGAGAATGAACATGATGGCCAGCTTAGAGAAGGAAAACATGGAGAGGAGAGAGGCCCAGGAATCTCAGAAGGAAAAGGGGAGGAAGATGTATCAGGATGCAGTGGGGCTTTTCAGGAAACAGTCACTGCAGACTTTTGTGGACTTCCTGGTTTAGCATCTTGTGCTCACCTTCTTCTGCAGCCCTTTGAGAACTCAGTATCAGAACCTCCTTATATGGCTCCCCAAACATTTCACATGACAGATGGGGTCACGCCCTGCTCCTGCCACTGAACTGTGAGGAACATTAGACATTCATAGCTTCACATGGACTGACTGGTTAAAACCACCAGCCGTGTACAACTAACTGAAATGGACATGAATGTTTATTACATTTTTAATATATTTGCTTTTAAATTGCAAGTTTTGCAATGATTTTGTTACAGAATAAAATTGTATTTGAAAAATCATCTTTATCAGGTCACAATGGATGCTGCTGAGTGCTCAACAGTTCTGAAAGCTGTCAATTACATGTTATACAGTGGCACAACTCACAGGATCATTCACAAATAACATTAATAAATGCATTGACGATGTTATATTCCTAGAAGGCCACAGAAGAGCAGAGCCAGATAGAGCACACATTACCTCATGTTACTCTGGCTCACTGTTGTGGTTTTCCAAAGACTCTTTGAGCTTCTGTAGTTCTATCTTAAGGTCTTCTAATAGCCCTTGTGTCTGGACATTCAAATTCAGTAGGCAACTGCTTTGCCTGTTCTCTCTACTCTGGAAGAAACCTTTCCCTTTTTGTTTCTCAGGTATAATGCAGGACACAGTAGACAGCCTAACTATTGGCATACTTTCCTCACTGAGGTTCAGTCTTGTGAATAGACAACACCAGCAATTTCTCAGACAGCCAAAAGCACATTCGACTATCATTCGGCACCTGCTGAGCCAGTAGTCAAATCATTCCTTGGTGCTGTTAAGGAGGCCAGTGTGCATCTTCATGAGTCAGAGGAACAAGGCATAGTCTGGATCCTCCATTATCACTATTACCATGAAATTTGGCCATGTTTAAATGCCATGTCACTATGGCCATGTTTACATGCTAATCTTCCTGTCAGGAAAGTCCCCCCTCAAAGCTTTCTGAACAGTCTTATGTTCTTGAAGATGTAGTGTCGTGCACTTTCTCAGACCAGCCCACGTTGACTTCCGTGAAAGAATCTCTGGTGATTACCCGTGCTTGCATGACCATAAAAAGTAGTCCTTTCTCTTAATGTACTCAGTAGCAAGGTGGCATACAAGTTTGTGGGATTTTGAAAAGACATGAAAAAGATGGGATACAGATACTGATATTGGATGGGGACAGTTGCACACTGGGAAGTTGACCCCATGCCCAATGATCCATTTACCAAACTGTCCCAAATCAGTGCACTAGACAGTGGAAAGTTGCACAGTGCCCTGTCTGTGGTGCACCACATTCTACAAAAGATGGGCTACCGATACTGTTATTGGATGGGAACAGTTGCAAACTGGAAAGTTGACCCCATGCATCTCAGTGTGCATGCTCACAAGCAACATAGTCGTTGTGGCTGTTTGTTACTGTAATATGAGTTCATCTACATTTATAATATAAACATAGCTTTATTCTTGTCATTGGCCCCTCAGCTCTTTGAAAGGCGTTCACCTAACACTGGTGGGTGCCACTGCAAGAGCCTGCAGATATGACTTACCATAAGTTAGAGGGGTGGAGTGCTTAGTGTGGTGTATTCTGTTTTCACATTTCTCCTGCGTTGATGGAACTGTGATGTCTGAAAAACAGTCTAATTGTGTACCTTTTACTTTACTTCCTGGGTGCTACTTATACAAAATTAAAAACAAAAGGCTTTTTTATGTGTGTGCACAAAGAATGGTATCTTAAGCCATAGCTGCAGCTAGGAAAACCTCTATCTATCCATAGATCTTAATTGGCAAGGCATAATGCGAGCACTGGTTTACCCTAGCAGATGAAAAATTTAATGCAAGGAGGAGAGTGGGACATTTGGGAGCAGAAATGGTCCTCATTCTCCACAGTCAATTCTTCTATATGTAATGTGTAGTCGACTACACAATTAACTGGTAAACCTTGGTTTATTGGTTAATCTTGTCAACTACATGCACCACTTCTCCCCTTGCTGCCTTTGTGCCCCCATCCACATGCTGCTGCCTCAGTGGCAGCAGTGCAGAGGGTGAGAGGGACAGGCTAGAGCTGATATATGCAGGAAGCCAGCTCCCCATGCATATCAACTCCCATAGACCTGCCCTCCCCCCCTTTGCTGTCTCCTACAGAGGCAGCAGTTGGAGGCAAGTAAGAGCCAGTGCTGGGGAGGAGGAGGGAGGCTGGGCAGGGTATGCTGCAGCAAAGTAGCCTCTGTCCACAGTGGCTGGGGCTCCCTGCGGACAGCAGCCCCTGTCCACGGGGGGGGGAGGGGAGGTCTCCTCCTGCAGACAGGCTGCTGCCGCAGACCAGCCTCTGTCCACGGGGAGCTTGGACCACCACGGATTGGGGGGCTACTGCCACCCTGCGCTGCTGCCTGTTTCAGAGGCAACAGCACAGGGTGGCAGGGGGCTCATTGGGAGTGCAGTGGCTGTTGAATAGTGGTGTAACTGCTAAGATTTCATGCGTTTATACGACTATTCAGTTACACAATATATAGCATCCCTACTATATGTTAATTTCAGCATTGTAATGTAATTCTAATAGCATGTTACAAAGTTTATTAAGCTTTTCTTTAGTTTTGAGAGAGCTTGTGCTATAAATTGCAACGAACTAAATGTATGTAACATTTCTGCTGCAAAAAATCTCTGGTGTTAAATAGCATCCTGAGTCTTCTAAACATTCTAATGAAAACTTGTCTTTAAACTTTATCTTAATCTCTAAAACATCCGTATGTCTTTGGCTCTGCAGTTTTCTTTCAGACCCCTCAGCAATATTGTGTATGAGTAATGAGAATGCATGGGCATTACTTTGTTCTTTGTCTCTTTTCCACATCTCTATCCCCTTCCATATGTAAAACGTGTGTTCTCCTGCTGTGTACAAGTTGAGATCGTTATTCTTTTGGGGTGTTTGTGAAGAAAGTTGCTGTGATCAGCATTTTTAAAGACTCAAAACAAAAATTCAGATGTAAGGAGACTGAACTTCCACCAACTATTGATTTCATTTGGAATCTCAGCTAGATCTGTGCAACATATTTCAGCCTATGGACATGCTGCCTAGAATCCACTCTAACCTTGCATATTTCTTATCAAGAAATCATATAGTCATGGGGAATTATTAGTGATTCTAATACAATCTTTTTTTTCTTGCAGTGATGCTACAACCTTTTGATTACGACCCTAACGAGAAAAGTAAACACAAGTTTATGGTACAGTCAATGTTTGCTCCAGCTGATACTTCAGATATGGAAGCAGTAGTAAGTACTGAAATTAATTTAGAGACCGTTCCCTTTATTTGTGTAATTTTATAAAAAGAGAACATCTTAAAGAAACAGAATCAGATTTTTCTGTCATTGCCTGTAGATTGACTTAAAGAAATTTATTGTTTTTCCCAATAATTAACATCTGCATAATAAGGGAATGCATGTTCCTTTTTCCCCTCACCCCCATGTTTCTTGTGTCACAAGTCTTAGATTGCAGGATTAGATATGTGTGCTATGGGAAGAATTGCCATCCTCAAACAGATGGCTGCTGTTCTGTCAGTAGTAGGATGCCAGGTTAAGTCCTAATTTTAAATGTGCACATAAAAAAAAGCAAGGCTAATGGCCTTGTTTGGTATCTTCTGTACTTTACAAATGATTTCCCTAAGTCTGGAATCCCTCAACCCTCCTGAATGTAGAGTAGGACTTCCCTGGACCAGCTTCTGTCTTTCCAGTGGGAATCAGAATCTTTCCTGTTGTTGTGGAGTTTGCTTTGTCCTTTCCCTTATATAGGCAAATAAACATGGCAAAGATCTTACAATACACCATTCAAATGGGTTATAAATGGAAAAAAAAAGGGTAGGCAGAGGCTGGGGTGAGACAGGACAAAGGATACAGCCATAAGAGTATGAACTACTTTAAGATTGGAAAGAAGCAAAGGGAGCTGAATTGACTGACTGTTAAACACTAACAAGTATACTTTTCTCTCCACTGATGGCAGTAATCACCAGAGTCTTGCTGTTGAACCTGTCTCCACCCTAACTTTTATTACTTTGCTAAACATTTAACCTTGGTGAAAACCCTTAAAGTAGCCTGTGTACTTTTTTCTGAAAACTTATTTTAAAGTACACTATAAAAATAAAGGGCACGTACATATCCCATCTTGTACATTTGATTTCATGACATAATAAACTGTTAACCTTTTAAATAAGATATTTATTGATCCTCTTTTCATGCAGCAGTGGTTTTGGAATGCTAACTGAGAGGATGCTGATTGTACTAGGGTTTTTGTAGTGGTCCCACTGAAGAGAATTACTCCCTTTTCTGTATTATTTACGAAATTGGTATCTCTTTCCCATGCTCTGTTTCTGAGGGTATGGGGGCTTAGCAGTGCAGACATAATAGTCCATTTGCAAAGTACAAATCACATAGTAGACTAGAACAAATTTGGGCATAGCTCTATGAAGATAAGTAGGTTAGTCTTAGATTGTTCTTATAAGACTGGCCAGAAAACTGTACAGCTGACTTTGTCAAGTAATCTTACCGTGTCAAGAATGTTAAACTCTTGGATGGTTTTAGGAGCTCTTTAAGCACTCCAGAACTCACCTTTCCAAAGGAAGTGATTGAAGCCCCTTGCTTTAGCTTCCTTTTAAAAGAAGACTAGTTGAAACAATAGCCCCTACCTATTGGCAGAGAGACTTATCGGTTACTCTTTTTCAATCTCTAACTTAGTGCATAAAATTCAATTTTACATCACCAGAAATGCATATCTATGGAACCTATAGGAGTGTTTCAATTTTCCAGATCTCTGCAGGCCAACAACTTTTATCCTGCAATACTCAGTCCTTCGATATGTTACCATAACAGAGATATTGTCCTAGAAGTGACAGATCTCTAGAGTCCTCCAAAGCTTTCAACACTTCACAGCCCGTCAACAAACTCAAAAGAGAATCCTGATTTCAGCATCAGAAAAGTGGCAGAACTATTCAGCTATTTACCTTGGTCAAATTTCATCTCAAACTGACCGGGTGAGCCATAATCTGCAGACAGCAGTATTGTGAGTCAGCTATTTCAGTTCTGGGTCATAGAATCATAGTCTCCTAGGGCTGGACGAGACCTCAGGAGGTCATTGAGTCCAGCACCAAGCCCAAAGCAGGACCAGCCCCAACAAAACCATCCCAGCCAGGGCTTTGTCAAGTTGGCACCTAAAAACCTAGGGATGGAGATTCTACTGCCTCCGTAGGTAACCCATCCCAGTGCTTTCCTACTCTCCTAGTGAAATAGTTTTTCCTAATATCCAACCTAGATCTACCCCATTGCAACTTGAGACCATTGCTCCTTGTTCTGCCATCCTTCACTACTTAGAACAGCCTTTCTCCATGCTCTTTGGAATCTCCCTTCAGGAAATTGAAGGCTGCTCTTCTGCAGACTAAATAAGCCTAAATCCCTTAGTCTCTCCTCCTAAATTATTATTTATATAAGGCAAGAATTTCTAATTTTTATCCCTGGGCATAAATTTTGGGGGGCGGGGCACGTTGTTAGTTTGGTTAGATGATATAGCTCCTCCTATTTTAATACTGATAAAAGTAAAGTAATGCACATTGGGGAAAAATAATCCCAACTATACATACAATATGATAGGGACTAATTTAGCTACAACTACTCGAGAGGGATCTTGGCATCATTGTGGATAGTTCTCTGAAAACATCCACTCAATGTGCAGCAGCAATCAAAAAAACAAATAATGTTAGGAATAATTTAAAAAGGGATAGAGAATAAAATAGAAAATATCTTATTGCCTCTGTATAAAACCATGGTACGCCCACATCTTGAATACTACATACAGATGTGGTCGCCTTATCTCAAAAAAGATATATTGGCATTGAAAAAGGTTCAGAAAAGGGCGACAAAAATAATTAGGGATATCCCATATGAAGAGAAATAAAAAGACTTGAACTTTTCAGCTTAGAAAAGAGGAGACCAAGGGGGGATATGATAGAGGTCTATAAAATCATTACTGGCAAGAAAAAAGTGAATAAAGAAAAGTTATGTATTCGTTCCCACAGTATAAGAACTAGGTAGGGGTCACCAAATAAAATTAATAGGCAGTAGGTTTAAAACAAACAAAAGGAAATTTTCCTTCACTCAGTGCAGAGTCAACCAGTGGAGCTCCTTGCCAGAGGATGTGAAGGCTAGGACTTTAACAGCGTTCAAAAAAGAGCTAGATAGATTCATGGAGGTTAGGTCCATCAATGGCTATTAGCCAGGATGGGTAGGAATGGTGTCCCTAGCTCCTGTTTGTCTGGAAATGGGTGACAGGGGTGGGATCACATGAGGATTACTTGTGTTCCCTCTCTGGGGCATCTGGTATTGGCCACTGTCGGCAGGCAGGATACCGGGCTGCATGGACCGTTGATCTGACCCAGTATGGCTGTCCTTCTGTTCCTCCTTTGAGGGTAAGGATTGTCTCACCTATGCAGCGCTCAGTACAGGCATGAATATTCAGCTGGTAACTAACAAATACATGTGAACATGTGTGACTGAACTCACTTACCAGCTTGGCAGCATTTCCTGCTAGCCATTTTGAGAATTAGCTCTCAAGCTGTTCATCTTATTGATGGTACCTTCTCCACGTGCATACCTGTCTCAGCCCAGGAACCAGAGCATCCTTTTCATGACTTGACACTCCAGCCATGTCGTCATCTGTTTTCCCCCTTCCTGGAGGAAGTATTTCCCAATTCTGTAGTGCAGCCACTTCCCCAGTAATGAGTGGGGGGGGACTTGAGTCCACAAACTACTTGAAGTCCTAGCCCACAGACTTTGTGGCTACCTGCCTACCACCACCTCTCCTCCTCTGCCAGAGCTGCTTCAATTCCCTGGCCACTTCACTGGTGCCCCCACACATTTTACACCCTCTTCTCAGGGTCTCCAGCCAGGAGCTCCCTCTTCTTTGCCAGTCCCTGCCAACAATTGCTTTGTCCAATATGCTGCTTTCTTGTAACCAGCAATGAACACCACACCATCCTCTCTCCTTGGGCTCCTTACAGCAGCCTGCTCTGCAACTCCTTTTATGTAATTCTGCTGGACCTTGACTGACTGTTCCATGAAGTCTCTCAAGGTTGTTTTTAACTTTTTTTTTAAGTGTGTAAAGTGGATGTGCCACCACAACATGAAATGGAATTTACCAATGAAAAATGGGAAAGTGATTCTTATTTTTGAGGGAACAGTAATTAATCCCTAATGGACACCACTTTAGAAGATTTGAACACCCCATTTTAAATAAACATTTGAATAAATAATAATTCGTTCAATACAGCCTGTGTGTTTATAAGAATGCTATTATTCTTTAATTATTCGTTTTGGATATGGTAACTTTGTCTTTCTTTTGAGCTGTTTCCTTGCATCTTTTTGTTTGATTTAGTCTATAGATATCCCTGAAAAATGTTTGCTAGTGTAACCCCTTCAAGCAAATTAGTTTTACATGAAGTTTTCATTTTTGTACAACTTCTCAATAGTCTGTTGTCATGATTTTTTACAGCATATCTAGAGAGACCGATTTTGTATTTTTCTGTCCCTTTCAAGATAGTTTTAACAAATAATTAAGGGAATACATGCTTGGCAAGGTGAAGGTAATGCATTTTATTATTATTTGTTGAAAACTTTGATCTGATAAATACCCAGTACTTTTAAACAAAATGTATGTTTATGAACTAGACAGTGCAGCAAGGAATCAAATTGCATTACCTTTTCCGTAATCCTTATTGTAATCTGCTCATTATTTGTAAAATTTTAGTGGAAAGAAGCTAAACCAGAAGAACTCATGGATTCTAAACTTAGATGTGTGTTTGAGCTACCAGCAGAAAATGATAAACCTGTGAGTATTTTCAACTCCGTGGTGAGTGATTTAACTTAATTCCACAGTTAGAACATAAAAAATCCATGTTTGTACAGCCCAACTCTGTAAGCAACAAACAGAACCCTTTGTTTTGGTATTAGAATCACACACACACCCCTTAAGTAAAAAAATTCAAGTCTTCACGCTGCTTAATCCAACTAAAGGTTAATTTACACAACTGAAGTTCAGCAAAACTACTGCAATTATTTCTCAGAGAATTTTGGATTATTTTTGTTCCTTAATGAAGGATGGCATAAAAAATTAAGCCTTGTGAAAGATGCTGCTCGATATCCTAGAAGTCCTCTACTGATCCACAGAGCAGATATAAAACACAGTGATCAGCCGTATAAGCTTCCACTTGTTGCCCTGATCTGATGGGATTTCCTGAGAGTGAAATGTTTTAGAAGTAGAAAGTTAGCAAGCGGTCCAGGGCAATGTTGGCATTTGTGGCCTGGGATTCCTGCTATTAGTAGCTGATGTGTTTTTTCTTGTTGGAGCAGGGAAGATGCTGATTAATTCATGATGGAAATAAGTATCCCGAAATGCAGAATTGATTAATTAAGATCTACCTGTTTATGTGTATGTAGTGCATTCATTTCATGTACACAGGAAGCACAAGAGTAGAGTGTTCACCCTTGCAGTCAAGGTAGTGCAATTATAATTATATATTTGTAACAAGCCTTACAGTTGCCCTCCTGTGATCCTTTATACCTCTGTCTGTGCACCAGACTTGTACATTCTGCATGTGCAAACCCCACATTGCTCACATTCACTCTGGGATTTATGTGCACGTCAGGCCAATGCACTTGGAGAAGAGAGAGATATAATCCTGTATCTATGAGAAATTTGCAACTGAGATGTCTGAATTCCACTCATGAAGTTGCAGTTTTGATTTTTCTTTAATCCCTAAAATTTGTTAGGACAAAATAGATCATAAGTAGCAACAAGATCCTATTTTTATAACTTGTGTTTCTTGTGACGAGACTTTTACGATACTTATGCTTTTCACAGGGTTTGGCTTTATGCATGCCAAACTACAGAATATGCCAGGCTGTGGGGGAAATCCCTGGTATCCTTCTGTACAGGATCATATTGGGAATGTTTAATGGGGAATTGTTTTTCCATATACATCCTTATTACAGTTGTTCAAAATATCAACATTCTCTAAACTGATTTGAAGGGTGGTTCTCCCTTTTACACTGTGGAATTGTAGGAGAGTAGAGGAGTAGTAGGAAGTGAGAGTATGCAGAGGGGTAAAGAGGTGGTTCCTGACAGAGGGCCAGGTGTAGCTAGAGCACAAATGCTGCCTTAGTTCCTCCACATGTGTGGGAAGCAACATTTGCCATACTGTGTTTTCCATGTTTCCTTTCAACTCTCACTCACGATGACACTAATGCCTCCTAAACAGGTTCTCTTAGGTTATGTCTCCACTACGAGCTTTTTTCGGCAGAAAATATGCTGAGGGACTCATTTTTTGCCGTTTCTTTTTGCTCAAGGGGTTTTTGCGCGAAAAGCAGTGTGCACAGGGTTTTTTGGCACAAAAACCCCATTTTGCACAGATCCTTATGCCTGTCCCTTCGATGCATAAGGATCTTGCACAAAACGGGGTTTTTGGGCAAAGAAGGGTCTACACTGCTTCTTTTTGTGCAAAAACCCCTTGTGCAAAAAAAGGCAAAAAATATGCTAATGAAGTTCTGACTTATGCTAATGAGTCCCTCATTAGCATATTTTCTGCTGGAAAAAACTCATAGTGTAGACGTAGCCTTAGTTGATTGGGGTTATGTGTGAGAGAGAGAGAGCAAACAGAATGTGTCACAGCCCCTTGACTTCATTAAGAGAGGCAGAGTCCTAGTCTAGGGATCTGTTTCTCTGGTTTGGTAATGCCCAGACTTTTGCCAAAAACCAAGAAGTAGAAATAAAGGCCACAAAAAAAATACAAATGTAAGGTCAGCATAGTTCAGCTTTTTTAATAGTCCCTTCAATATAAGATGTGGCTTTTTCTTTAATAATCATCCTAAGATCACTGTCCTTTTTTTGACAGCATGATGTAGAAATAAATAAAATTATATCCACAACTGCAAAGACAGAATCTTCTGTAATGTCTAAATCAATAAGTTCTTCCTTGGATGACACTGAAGTTAAGAAAATAATGGAAGACAATAAGAGGCTTCAAGTAGAAGTTCAGAGGTTACGGGAGGAGAATAAACAGTATAAGGTAAAGATTTTTCTTTTGAATTCTGCCCATTTGAGTTTGAAGCTTCTTTGTGGGTGGGAGTGGTTAGTGTGTACCAGGGTACTTAAATTTTAGTTACACATGTAAGGAAAACACAAATTCTTATCTTCAAATTTACATTTTCCAATCAAAATTAAGCACATAAATCCATGCACTCTGGGGGTATAGTGTGAAGTTTGAAGCATACAGCCTGGCAAAGTGAAATGATAGTGACCCAAAATGATTTATTATCACCTCTCCTCCTTTTTTTTGTACAAAGAATTGAGTAAAACTTTCAAAAGCAGTCAGATAGGCACAAACTTTGCCCAATTCTGTGTCATCTGGGAGTTTTACTACTGAGATTAGCAGGAGCAGAATTGGGCCAAAACCAAGCAGTTTGGAAATACTTCCCAAATGCATAATCTAAGAAACTGTTAGCCAAAGTACAAGAGGACCTCTGGGTCCAGCTTTGACCACCCAGCAATATGAAAGCTCAGTATGTAAGAACTACCTGTCACTCTTCCGAGGTACTCTTTTTAAATCTGTTTTTAAGCTACCCCTTGAAGTAGCTATAAAGCTGAAATCAGTAATATGGTTTAAGTGTGAGGTAAATATTTACCACTGAAAATCTGTTTTGTTTCCTCCATTTTTGTCTCTTAAAATATGCTACATGCTCGGTTAGCCTCATTATGCCATCACTTTCCCAAAAATGATTTCCAAAAATAAATTTGCCTTAACCTTCAGTACCTTGAGAAATGTATTAAAAGTGTGTTTCTTACTATGGACATTTCATATTGCAACTAATATTTGGTGCTCAAACCTTTCTAAATTCCATGATCAATGTTAGAAACATTGAGCTAAATCCAACACCAGCTTTCTGACACCTTAATAGTATGGTCTGAAAGGGCTTTATCCACCTCTAAATAGTCTGGTGTTTAGGTCAGGAAGTAATGAATACTGTATCCAGGTAAAATTACAGCTCCTATGTCAGCTCTTTCGTCCTACCATGACACTTCTTAGATTAAGAGCACTGATAGGATTGTAGCACAACACATGCCAGTAATTCCTGGTAGTATCAGTGAGATGTCATGTAATGTTAGCATGTATATGGAAAATTAAAAATGGAATCACTTCGCTGAAGTATTTGAGAAATTTCTGCTTCATAATTCAAGGTTATTCCATTGGCAATTGGTATCTTCATAACTGCAAGTTTGTGTTCACATTTGTACAACTGACTTGTGTGCACAGCCCTGAAAATCAGGGGATATCCATATATGCTTGTTGGTTACTTTTTGAATGAATTGCTTTTATCCCCATTCAAACTAGCTGGTAGGAATAGAATGAAGAGGTGTTGTCAATGCTTCTGCATCAAAATTGTGTGCCTTTCCAAAGAAATACATCTAATAGACTTAGCACTACGATATTTTTTTCAATGCTGCATTTTTTTTTTCAAAACTAATAATTAGGGTTCCTTCCTGTAGGATGAAGATGGACTGCGGATGAGGAAGGCTCCCCAGACGAACAACCCAATATCTGCATCTGCATCTGCTGCCAAGGAGGAAGGGCTCAGCACTAGACTACTTGCTCTGGTGGTTTTGTTCTTTATTGTTGGTGTAATTATAGGAAAAATTGTCTTGTAGAGACAGCATGCTGAGGATTGTAAATTGGCTTGATGGTTCTGCCATATCATTGGATTAAATTTATTCATAACAATGTTTTAAAAAAATTAATGTATGACATCTCACAGGTCTTGCCTTTAAATTACCCCTGCACAAATATAACATAATGTAATCCTCTAGAAAGTTTAAAATGTACAATAAGTGAATGAATGATAAAGAATGTTCTTTATTAAGTGATGAGAGAAAAATCATGATTTAACACTACAGTGGCATATTGTAAATGTCATTTTAAACATTCTTAGACCTTGGTACATGTTGCTGGATTATTACCTCTTTTTTTAAAGAAAAACAAAGAATTATTCTTCCACTGCTGGAGCTGGCCCATCTGGATGTTTGGAGCTGGGTTAAGCAGGAGGGCTTGATAACTTCTGTAAAATATGTTGATCTACCATTCTACTCATCAGTTTAACAGATTGTCAGTGTCTTCAACTCTGTGCAAATTACCAATTTATTGGCACTTAAATTAATAGTGAGAAGCTGAAAAGAATTGTATGTGGCCACGCTGAATGTGCTAAGCATCATTAAGAGGCATATATTGACTGATATGAAACTCATTTGGAATAAAGGTCAATGCCTTGTTCTCTTCAAGGGACCAAGCTACATGGCTGTTGGTTCATTTAGATAAATTGAAATGTTATTCAGAGATGTTTAATGCATATTTAACTTATTTAAACGTATTTCATCTCATGTTTCCTTATTGTCACAAATTGACTAATACTATGATATAAAAAGGCACCTGTTCTAAAACCAGTGGATAGAACTAACAACTGCTGTAGTGATGCAAAATTCTTCTGCCTCCTGATGTTTTGGGCACTATGTAATTGTTAAAGTTTTGATCACTTAAACATTGGGAAACAGCAGTCAGGAAACTGTTTTTGTATGTAAATAAATGAGTCTATCTAGCAAAAAAATTAGTAGTAAACTAGTTCTATGCGGTAAAAAGACAAATCTTGTTTGACTATGTAGCATCTTAAAAAAATTAAATAAAGCCCAGAGATTAAAGTTCCTTTTGTTACTTTTGTCAGGTTTTATTAAAAGGTTCTGTAGATAGTCACTTGGATGAATCTTACATAAGTATCAAGAAATTGCTAGCCTTATTTCAACACTGCTTCCTCCAGCCCCATTTTAATCTCCAAAACCAATCTCCAGAGAAGAGCATTTGATGGAATACTGATGTTTAGAATAACCATATTATCAGGCTGTTTATTTACTAATAATGAGTACTCCTGTGGCATCTTAGGCTACATCTACACTGCAGCACTATTTCAGGATCGCAGAGTATCCCGAAATAACTATCCTGCATCTTCACACCAAGCCCGTTATTTTGGGCTCACTATTTCAACGTCCCTGTAAACCTCATTCTACAAGGAGTAAGGGACTCCTTTCAGAATAGAGCTTAATTTGGCGTTGTGTAGACTGTGCCAAATGACAAAATAAGCTATTTCAAAATAGCATTGAAATAAGATGAAATTTGTGTAGCTCAAATTGCGTATCTTATTTTACGTTATGGTGCAGTGTACGCATACCCTTAGAGACAGACAGATATATATATATATATATATAATATAGTATGAGCTTTTAGGGGCAAAACCCAATTATTTATTTACTAGGTATCCTCTGCTATATTTCAGTCTCTAATGATTGGAGTCAGTAGCCAGTAGGCCTGATAATCTATACAAAATGAGATTGTAAGGAAGTAATATTAGTAATAATATTAATATATTAACTAGGAAAGTCATTATTAATACTAACTATAAAGCATGTATATTCACCATATTGATGAATGACATATAGATGACATTTTCAGTTGACTATTCAATCTAAGTTGGATTCCAGTTTCAGAAACTATCAGATGTAGATGTCCAATAGAGTGAGGGGACTAAAATGTGCAATAGATTGAAGTTTATCATCACACCTCTGAATCCAGAAGCACTTAAAAATGTCTTCTTTTTCTAAACCTTTATAATCAAGTCATACTGTAGGGGGCAAAAGTATCTGAATTGATAAGTTTTTAGTGTTGTTTTTGTTTGTTTTTGGAGTGTTTTTTGTTTTTGTATTTTGCTGCAATCTACTTCTCCACCCTTGCCATAATAATAAAAATGCTAATGGATAGTTACTTGTCAAAAATGGTTGCCTGCCCTACATTGTGCAAATTAGCAGAATTTTTGTGGTACTAAGTTTGCAGGTCATGTGAAATCCCAACCTGTTCTGTGTATGTGAGCATTTCTGTAGAGACTTCTTGTAGAACAACTGACAACCAGGAAGAGGTCCGTCTTCAGACAGGGTATGAAGATAGACCAAAGCCAAGTCTGTTCTGTGCGGTATTGGCAAAGCAGTTATTCCGCACTTCTTGTATGAGTGCATTGGAAATAATGCAGAGGAAGAATGTAGGTCAGGGCTATTCAACTTTGGAAGCCCCGTGGACCACAATGATACTCACAGCAAATGTCGAGGGCTGCAACTTAAGTGTGGTTGTGTATACATGCAAATATATATATGCCAATAGATTTTCACACAGTGCGCTGGTGCTCCCTGTATCTCCTCCATGGGGGCTAGAAACATGGACACCCTATGCCCATCTGTTCCAGCTAGCCCATCCACTTGCGTCTTTCAATGCTCAGCCAGCCTGCCTGGGAGACATCTTGCCATTATGTAATGTGTTCCCCGTGGAGGGCATGTTCAAAGGATCCCACCCACAGGCCGCGTGTTGAGTAGCCCTGATGTAGGTAGTGAGATCAAGAGAGCAGAATAGGTAGGGCTGAACAAGAACTTTAAAAGTTACAGCTTTGCTCTTTAGGGGCCCAGTAAGTAAAGGAAACCTTCTGGCACTCTTTAGCTTCTGTTAACCAAAATGGCTGATCAATGCAGGAAGCATTCTGAAAGAGAGTTGTCTTTTTGAAAGACATGGGATAAATATGATGCCTGAAGAATTCACTTTGGCTTTGTAGTATGTATCTGGAAGAACCTTGTTTAAAGACTTCAGAGGGGTAGCCGAGTTAGTCTGTAACTGTAAAAACTTTAAAAACAAGTCTAGTAGCACCTTAAAGACTAACAAAACATGTAGATGGTATCATGAGTAGAAGTGGGTTGTGTCCATGAAAGCTCATGATACCATCTATATCACCGTTTCACAAACTATGGGCCACAGCCCAGTACCAGGCCGCAGGAAAAAAGTACCGGGCCTCAGCGTGGTTTCTGGGGTGTTCCGGGCTCCCGGAGTGCCTGTGTGGCACCAGGTCTCCCAAGCCCTTGGCCGGCCTGGGTGGGTCTGCAGCTGGATCTTCCAGCTCCTGGCAGATGCATAGCTCAGGGGGAGGGAGGGGAGAGCTGGCCATCAGAAGCAGCACTGGACGGGGGAATCGGGGCGGGCCAGGGAGATTGGGGGAAGGGCAGCCAGCGGAAGCAGAGCTGGGCAGGGGGCTGGCCAGGGGAGATTGGGAGGAGAAGTTGCGGAGAAGCGGCCAGTGGAAGCAGGACTTGCCTGGGGCATCAGCACTGTCTGTGAGAGATTGGGGGGCTGGCGGAAGCGGGGCTACCTGGGGGGCGCGAGATTGGGGGTAGAGAGCTGGCCAGGGAAGATGGAGAGGGGGAGGAAGGAGCGAAGCAGTTGCCGGAAGCAGGGCTGTATGTGGGCAGTGGGACTGGCAAGGGAGATTGGGAGGAGAAACGGGGGAGAACTGGCTGTCCGGGAGGAGATTGGGGAAGTGGGGCTGGCCGGAGGTGCAGTGGGGAGAGCGAATCGGCCAGCGGGGAGTGGGACTGACCTGGCCATATGTGGATCTTGGGGCACTTCCATTCCCCCCCACACCCTGCAAAGCACAAGTGAGTCCGGCCCAGTGATTCTGTTGTGCCCCCGGCTGGTAGACACACTCATGCAGTCTGAGCACATTTACCAGCCAGGCAGTTCGAAACTGCAAACTGATACATTTAGTAATAATAAAACTTACCTAATGAGAAAATACCAGACATGTTATATGTCTGGTATTTTCTCAGTCTGTTTTTTATGTGTTTATATTTTTGGGCTGCAAAAAACAGTACAGGAAAAAAAAGGGTTCCAACTAAAGTAAAAAGTTTGGGAAACCCTGGTCTAACCAGCTTTCTGTCTTACACTCCATTTATCCAAACCATATTCCTTAACTTGCTGGCAAGAATATTGTGGGTGACCATATCAAAAGCTTTGCTAAAGCTGGCACTGGGGGCTTTGGGAGGGCCAGAAACAACTTATTTGAATATTTGTCATTTGATTAATGAATATTCAAATATGCAAATGAATGTTACCAGCCCTCCAAAAGTTGGTGAATGGATTTACTGGTCTCTGTGTCAAAAAGTTTGGGAACCCCATATCTATGTTTTGTTAGTCTTTAAGGTGCTACTACACTATTTGTTGTTTGTTTTTCTTGATTAGAGATACTGAATGCAAATGTTTTGTGTGGCCATGGTCTTCAGAGCACTCTGACAGTTATCAAAGTAGAAGAGCCTCTCATGTGCAACTTTGAACATGAGCCAGTATTGCAGGGTAATGATGGAGGATACGCTTTAGTGTTGGTCTGTAGGAGGGGGGTGGAAGTGTTTTTGTGGGTTGAATTTTGTTGTTGCTGGTGCCCTGAGCAACTGACATGCATGTTATCCATCAAAATTTATTTTGTTGGCACAGATCTTCTTCGAGTGATGTCCCTGAGGGTACTCCACTGTTGGTGTCGGGCTCATCCCAGCGCCGCAGATCGGAGATTTTTATAAACAGTATCTGAGAGGGTCGCGTGCTGATCATGTGTGTGAGACCCGACTCCCTTCACTTCTTTCGTTGCTTCCTGCAGCTGCAGACAGAGCTCTCACTTCTCATCTTCTCTTCGTTCTCTGTAGATAGAAATTGAGTTGTAGTTAGTTAAATACTAATGTTTTCATTCTAATAGTTCTTCGAGTGGTCCCTGTGGGTGCTCCACTCAAGGTGTCGGGTCCCGACCCGGTGCCGCTAGTCGGAGATATCCAGAGCCGTAGCCGGGCCGGACCGCGCATGCCCGAGAACAGCGCGCGGCGTTCGCGCCTTTGCAACGGTCCGCCCCCCCCCTCGTCAGTTCCTCTCAACCGCCTGTGGTTGCTGGCAGAGCGCCGTTTATCTCCTAAAAAAAAAAAAAAAAAAAAAAAGAGAGAGAAAAACTTATTATATACAGTGATATTCTAGTATAGTTAGTAGTTCAATTGTTAGTTTAAAAAAAAAAAGTAGAAAATTATTAGTTTACTTGTATATAGTTAAGTGGTTAACATCATGCCTGGCTTACTGGGGTTTAAACGATGTGCGCAATGTAAGGAAGCGATGCCGGCATCTGACAAGCATGCGACCTGTGTCAGATGCCTAGGAGAGTGGCACATACCACAGAAATGCGCCCATTGCGCGAAATTGACACCTAGAGCACGCAGGGAGAGAGACATGAGATTGAAACTCCTGCTGTGCAATAAGGCTTTATAGCCCTCTAATGACCAGGTGTCAGAAACCCCCGCAGGGCAGAAAAGGAGATCGCAGTCGCCCGGGGTGATGGGGTCAAAGAGAAAGAGAGTGTCTCAGTCACGCTCTCTTCCAGGCACTTCATTGTCCCGGACCAGTCAGGAACACAAGCCGGGTACGTCTGGAGGCATAGGGCACCAAGAAGTGCCACACAGGGCACTGTCAGTGATGCCCGCACCTCGGAGCCGATCGTCATCGGCACGGGCTCTGAACACCTCCAAGCGTTCGGCTCACCGAGAGCAATCGGCACCGCCAGAGGTGCTTGAACAGGGACTGACTGCGCAGCCGCAATCTACAGCGGCACCGCAAGCGGCGCCGATAGATCATGACAAGCCAGCTCTGCAGTCGGCGCCGGAGGTGGCAATGAGTGACGGGCCCAAAGAGGTGCATGAGCGGGCCCAACAGCAGGGCGTCCCGCAGCGCACAGAGTCAGCACCGGGAAATCGCTCGCATTTAACAGCCTTGGCAGACAGGGAGCTGCCTGCGGCCCCGCGTGCAAGCCTGGC